GGCCCCCCATTCCCATGGCATGGCGCGGCTTTCGCTGACCAAAGACCCATATCCGACAGGCGTAACCTGTGCATGTCTCGATGTCGAGCACACTGAATATATCTCCCCCCCCACTATGGGTGTCTCACTGCATGCTAATGCAAGGTAGTCGGGGACGGCCAACGACTTCTCACACTGTTTCTGACGCCTTCGCCTTCTCCAACAGCCTTTTGCGAATTCCTTCCCTGCACTCTTGTGCCTTCTCCTTCCTCCTTCCACCAACCCCACAAAACCCATCTTCCCTGCCGTTGCCTGGTTAAAATATCACCAGGGGGTTGCCATCTCGTTCCCTGGCTCACTAGTAGCAGAAAGCTTTGTCGTCCTTTCGGACATCCATTAAAATTGGAACGATTCAGAGAAGATTAGCATGGCCCCTGCGCAAAAAAAAAAAAAAAGCAGAGAGCTTTGTTGTCTAACTACTAATACGATCAGCACAACCTCACGCTCACAACTCTCATCATCCTTTGCAAATTCGATTCAACTGTTTTCGAGTTTCAACACCCGTAAACAGTTTTCTGCACTATTGCGCCTTCTCCTTCCTGCTTTGATGCCCACATAAAACTCAGCTTCACTGTCCGGTTAAGATCAGCAGAAGGTAGTAGTCGGGAACAACATACGACTTTCTCAAAACTGATTCTGTGGCCTGCTACAGCAGCCATTGCAAGTTCCTTCCCATAACCATACACACAGTTTTCTGCACTTCTCCTTCCTGCTTTGATGCCCATATAAAACTCATTTTCCCTGTCCGGCTAAGATCAGCAGAAGGTAGTCGGGAACAACACATATGACTTCTCAAGACTGTTTCTGTGGCCTTCTACAGCAGCCATTGTGATTTCCTTTCCACAACGGTCCACATTTTTCCGCACTCTTGTGCCTTCTCTTTCCTGCTTCGATGCCCACCAAACTCATATTCCCTGCCTGGTTACGATCAGCGGAAGGTAGTCGGGGACGACCGATGACTTCTCACACCGTTTGTGATGCCTTTTCCCCCACAGCCACGTCCAACTTCACTTCAAGTTGTCGAGGTGCAGAGAACAAAATCCAAACTGAGGCAATGTTGCAGCATTCGCTCTCGCCTAAAATGGCGAGCAACCCCTCATACGCAGCAAGAGGGAACTCGACTCAGCTTCAACCTGTTGCACCAACGGACTATAAGCAGAATTCCACATGCTTGATAGGACCCACATGACCGCCACGAAAGCCTAATAAAACAAGCTTCGAGTTCCCGTCAAATTCTCGAGGTGCAGAGAACAAAATCCAAACTGAGGCAATGTTTCAGCATTCGCTCCGCCTGAAAAGCCTTGCTTCCCATTGTCAGTTTCCAGCTGAGGCTACCATTTTAGCACGTCTGTTTTGCAAATTCCTTTCCACATGCATAGATGGTTCCCTGCCCTCGTGCGCCGCCTTCTTCCTCTGCTTTTGCTTTCATCCCCACAAAACTCATATTCCCTGGCGGGTTAATATCAGCAGGAGGTTGTCGACTCCCTCCCCGCCTCGCTAAGAGCATAAGGTTTGTTCTCTAACTAACACGAGCAGTGGAACTACATGCACTCATGCATGATACCTCCACCATCATTCTATCAAACACCGAATTGGGATGCGAGGGAGGGAGGGGGAGAGGAGAGGGAGGAAAGGGGGAAGGGAGCGAGGGTTGGAGGGAGGGAGGTATGTGTAGGCTGGATGTGGCAATGCCAGCCAAGGTACAACAACAGGAGAGGAGTCTGGTACATGTACACGGAGACCGACTCCCCAGCGCACCCTCCTCTCTCAGCTTGCCTGCTGCAATCGCGTTCCCAGTTGAACCATCTCATCGTCCTCGCTCAATGGCTGTCAATCTCTCACTCCCTCGTATCTGGACTGGACATGCAGCAACTAATCCACGACCAGGGCATCTTCATTGATCTTTCCATTGAAAGAGGGGCGCACCTCATTGAGGATAGCTCTGCTTCCAGCGTCCTCACAACGCTCGAGAACTCCGGTCGCTTCTCGGGGTCTGGCGACCAGCACTCTGTAATCATTGCCCTCAGACTAGCTGGACACGCATCCGGCAATTCTGGTCGAGTGTTCTGTTCGGTATTTCCGGAGCACGAAACACACGACAAGTGGCAAAACAGCTCCCACATAGTCAATAGAGCGGTCGGCGCTGTTCGCTGGTTTATTTTTTACTTGCATTTAGAAAGAAGAATGAGAAAAAAGAACGGTTTCAGTGTGCTCTTCATGTTTGTCTTGTGCACTTTCTATTGTTATCGTTTGTTGCGCAAAGTGCACTCTTTTAGTTCATAGATAGATATGCGATTAATATATAAATGACGATACTCTCCTTCGTGTTGGCCTGCAATCGACGTGCCAGTTGTTGGGACTGTACGATGGGCATGCTCAATGCCAGCCGTCGTGGCAATTGTTGTACTGAGAATGTTCAGCTAGGCCTTCAATGTGTGGTGTGTTCATCCACCTCATCCTTACATTTAGCAAGAAGAAATGAGAAAAAAGAATGTATGTCCTCTCTGTCATCAAGGATCAGACTGATTCTTCCGACTTTCGAATCCCTTCCTTTTCTCTAATCTTTCATTCCACACTCCTTACTTTCATTTACTTCCCCTTACTTTCCCTTTGTCGTTCTTTGTTTTGTCTCTCCCTCTCTCTTCTCTGTGTTTATCCCCTCCCCCTTTGCTCTGCCTCTTTCTCGAGCGTACACATGGGGGGGGGCCATTACAGCAAACAGGGATGCGGGCAGCTCGCGCTCATCTTCATCAACGTGGCAAGCCTCACACGTGAGAGTCCTGGTAAAGGGGGGAGTTTCGAGAAAAAATGATAAAAATGAATGCTTTCAGTGTGCTCTTCATGTTTGCCTCGTGTATTTTCATCGCTTGCTTTGCAAAGTGCTCTCTTTTCGTTCATAGATATGTGACAATATACCGTATATACGTGTATAATACTGTATATATATATATGATATGTGACAATATATGTGTGATAATGTGTCTCTATATATAAGAGAAGAATGATCAAAAGAATGGTTTCAGTGTGCTTTTCATGTGTGTGTTTTCATCCTTTGCTTTGCAAGAGTTCCCCGCATACAGTGGAGTCTCCTATTTCTAGTCGCCTGGAAAGTAAGGCAACGAAATTACCTTAGGCGAAAACAATGCGCGCTCTTGCGCCTCATGTCACCATGAGGATTGGACCATATCATCACAATCGGTAGTTTCCGTGCATCTGGCATATGGCCTCTGGACGACTCCAATCAGGAAGTCGCCCGATATCATACAGTTACGACTCTGGCGAGTCTCTTCGAGTGTCTCCAACCACTCTGGCCAGACCTTTCTGCTCGAGTGAGCCTCTACGAAGAAATGTGGCTCGAAAGAGCGAGCTGGGAGTCTGGATTTCGGAGCCTGATTACCAGCCTTAAAGTCTCCCTATCTTCACTCAAAGACCAAGAAGCAACCGTCTACTAAGTAAGATGCGATTTGATTTGTAGTAGATGGAATTCGCTTACGCTGTCACATATCTAATTGACTAAAAGAGCACAATGTGTGAAACAAAGGATAAAAATACAGACTACAAACACGAAGAGCACACTGAAACCATTCGTTCGTTTCATCGTTTCTGCTTTTAGCTCCCCCTTAGCTGCGCCTCTCACGTACAAGACTTGCCACGTTGATCAAGTCGAGGGCAAGCTGCCCACATCCTTGTGTGCCATAACGGCCCACTGCTACGCTGTGAAAAAGAGGGGACGGACAGCGAGAAAAAATCGAAAGAAAAAGCAAAGGTCATAGTCTAGAAGACTACAACACAAAACCATTGTAGAGTATCAAACAGTCCCCCTTTTCCGTGGAGTTATGTGAATACACCACACATACAGCCTCAATAGCTTTCTGTCGAGGCGGACCGATGCATCCCTGGCTGCATCAGTGTCTGGAGTGGGTTCGATGCCTGTGATTGGCTACTTTTCCAGACTCACTTCCCATTATCGTCAGGCGTGTGAACTCGAAACTCTGCTCAGTTGGTTCATCCATGAGCTGTTGGAGTACAGACCCACGTTGGAATCCAGGTACAATCAGATGACTAGAATAAAACCATTCTGGCCCAGCGACTGCCGCCAGGTTAGACCAGTGAACAGAACAGACCAGAGGCCCAAGGGTTGAGTTCTACAACAGGGGTGGAGGAGGCATAAAATATACTGGGACAGGGTGGTAGAGCACGCGAGAAGGATGAGCGAAGCAAGAGCCGGATCATGGATACACAGCTAATCAGAGAGGCTTAGAGACAGAATCTGGGGGAGGGGTGGACCAGACCCCCAATCTGGGGGGGTGGGGTCGGAACCGGGTGATAGCCATGGAGATAGATATACCATGTGCTTGCACCAGACTGCTGTATACGTGGGACGCTGGGCCCGGTTCCCAGCAGGTGCAGCTCCCACCAATAGACTCCAGCAGCCAGGGGGGCAGCTAGATGGGCTGCTTGTATCACCCCATCTAGCTGATTGTGACCGGCTTTTTTGGGGAGGCGGGTGAAGTTTTCCCATCCTCAAAAAAAAGAAAAAAAACATTCTGAATTACCTGGGGACAGTCAGTTCAATTCAATGGTATCTCAAGGCCGACGACCTTTATAAAAGAAAGAAGTCTGCTACGATTACAATTGCAAGGTTGGTGTGAGAAAAGACGACCACCTTTCTCAAGGCTGTTGCTAACCTTGCACAAGAAAGTTTGTCCGTATCCCTCAGTCAAAGTCAAACCTCCTGGGAAAAGACTGTCGAGTTCGAACTCCCGATCAGTCAAAGCCACCTGAAAGTCTGCTAAATTCACCCTTTTTCGGCCGAGTTGTATTTAGTGAACAAGACAAAACTGCAGCAATGATGCGATGCATCTGGCAGGCACATTTAAGAAAAAAGTTGTGCGAATGCACGGAAAAGTCGACTTACAAGTTACAACCTGAAACACCCGCCCCAGAAAAAGAAGGCTTCACAGTGTTCGCACAATATACGGCCAGAATAAAAGAGAGAAAAGTGAAGGCTTTCAAAATCCCACATACCTTATTCACTATCGATACGGCAGCTTGGACCGTAGGCAATCCATCAAAGGGAATCAAACCCGTCAATAATTCCCACATTATGATCCCAAAACTGTATACATCGACCTTGTGGTCATGCGGTCTGTGTCCTATCAACTGAGAAACCAACCGCAGGCAGAACATCAACCAGACCAAGAACAAGAAACAGGAAACCACGGTCAGTAATGACTCCGTATCAAAATATTATTATTACTTATTATTATTATTATTATTATTATTATTATTATTATTATTATTATTATTTTAATTCGGACCATTTGTCGATTTATGTGTGTCATCCTTGCGCAGGGGCCATGCTAATCTTCTTTCTCTGAACCGTTCCAATTTTAACGAATGTCCCGAAGGACGGTCCGTACCAAATTACACCTTCACCCTTCTGAAACATCTGGAGGCCTTTCTCAGTTGGCACACCCATGAAGTGGCATGAACTGTTTAAACACAGACCTGAGTTCGAATAAATGCTGAGCACATCAATTTTGTTGTCATCAAGCCAGTTTCTCCTCTCCAAGTCATCCCTCTCTCAGTGAAGACAAAGCCTCCCCTTTCCCCTTTGCAGACACTGCGCACTGGCCTCTGTCTGTCCTTCTGATAACCCGCTTGGCTGTCTAGCTCTCCCCAGCACCGTCTGTCCCCCCACCGCCACCCACCCACCCACCCAGGAAAAACCCTTTCCCCTTATCTCTCATGCCTTAAAAGCTAAAACTTAAAAAGCACCATCAGGCCACTCTCAGCATATCATACCCACAATTGCGATGCGACGCGCCATTGGATTTCCCCCCTTACATTTACGCCACCAGTGCATCCGAACCTCTCTCTTTGCCGGGCGGATTCCCCCGACATGCCAAGCTTTGCTGTTCGTTATAAGCACATTTGAGCGTGCTCCACACAGCAGTCCGTCTGTGAAGTATAGTGATCTTTCCTTTCTAGACTTCTAGACTTCAAGAACCAACCTTTACCGAGCCAATATTGGGCGTATACCCGACCTCCGTGCATGCCGGGAGGTCAGACAGAGACAATAGGAAAATGTACTGGCGGCTTAAGAGGGCGCCACTACCTAGTTGGCGACCTCGCAGCCATGCAGAACAGCGTCCCCAGTCCCGGACTGAACTGCTGAGGGAGGAACATACCTGGGAACCAGGGGCCTGCCTGGGGTCTACTCACCTCAACTGCTTTGAGAGCAGGCAGGCTAACAACCCTTGAACAGTTATAAAGCAGAGTTTATCTCCTTCCCCCATTTCAAGTTAGAATAGTAAAGAGCTGCAGTAAGAGCTGCAGTTCCTTGACTCCACCCCGGAAGTAGGGACAAGCCCCTCAGCCCTACTCGGGAAAATACGAGTGTCCACTCAGGAAAGATGCTCTTGATTTCGTGACCGCAATTTGAACGCTGCTGTGTCTACAATCGTGTGCGCTCGCCGTGTACATGTTGGAAGGCTTCGAATGCTTTCTACTCGAGAAAATACCGAGTTTCTAGACACTCTCTGCTCATTAACCCTGGGTAATGCAAGCTTCAACCCTGGCCGCTGGGTCCTTGCGTGAGTACCTTCTCAGGCAATCTAGTGCCGCGTGGATTCTCAAGTCTGGGGCTCGCTATTGACATCGAGCACGAATTCAGCCGTGGCTTACTGTCCCCATGTATACACCCGCCGCCGCCTGCTTGAGACGTGGACAGTAACCTATGGCCCGGAATGGGACCGGCTTCACATATCAAGTCGGTTATCCTAACCTTACCTTCTGCTTCATCGAAGCCGTTCTTCAACTTTGACCCAAGGGAATGGTTGCGGACCCGGAAATCCACAAAAGGAACATGCCTTTTATGACCGCCGAATTTAATGCCAAGTTCGGATCAGAGCTAGGCCTCAAGACTGATGTCCCCTACCTTGAGATCATCGAGAGATGGAAAAGAATACTTGGCCTTGAACCAGACTTCAAGATCGCTGTCCCATGGGCAAAAGATCGGATGAGCAAACCAGCGTAAATCCACAAGTATGCAGCGGCTGCTCACCTGTGGTGCCACCTCGCCGATCAATCAGTGGCTTCGTGAGAAAAGGAAACGTGCAGATCCCAACAGCACTGAAACAACCACGATGTGCACAAAACAATGATGTACCGAAGACATAATCCATTGCCTGCTAACATGTACTGAAGCGACCCGAGTCTGATAGAGTCACGAAGTTGTGGGCTTCTGTTTTAGCCTCCCTCCCTCCACCACCTCCCTGATCACCATCCTTCTGTCTGTCGCCCTCCCCAAACCCCTGAAAGACTGGAAGAAGAGCTGGTTGCCACTACTCAGGAAGTGGCACTCAGCTGGTACACCCACAGACTGTTGGAATACAGACCCAAGTTTGAATCCAGACACAATCAGATGACCAGAAAGAAAAGATGAAAAGTATCAAAAGATACACGGCCTTTTTTTTCTTTTCGTCTTTTTTTGAAGGAAGGGGCACTATGACCATCTGGGAGAGAATATGTGCTACGACTACCGTCACAGAACAAACAGCGAGAGAGGGAGCCATTCTCTCCTTCTTTTTCTTCGCCGGGTCGGGCAGGGGAGGGGAACAGGCCCTCCCACTGGACCTAGCTCCTCCTATTCTGGGGAGCATCAGTCCATTTCCTTTTCCACCGGCAAGTCACAACTCTCAATTGAACCTGTCTCTTATACACATCTAGATGTGTATAAGAGACAGAGGGAGCCCTGACCGCATTGATTGGCTACTTGTGAGAACGGTGGAAACTGAAATCCTCCGCTGCAGATGGAGCACAATCAAACACTCGGCAAAGATCAAGCCGCCCGAGAAGAGTTTTTTTTTTTTTTTTGGGTACGGTCCAGGGAGCCCTGACCGCATTGATTGGCTACTTGTGAGAACGGTGGAAACTGAAATCCTCCGCTGCAGATGGAGCACAATCAAACACTCGGCAAAGATCAAGCCGCCCGAGAAGAGTTTGCAACCCACAAGATCGTTTTCCACAAATATACTCGCTGCTGTGGGGCCACATCACAAAAATAATGAACTACATATTGAGATGGAAAAGATCGGGGGGGTGGCCAAGGGTGAACGGAGGCGGACAAACTGGAAGGCATACAACATCAATCCAAGACTGACAACGGCAGATTATCTTTGAGAGGGGTATCTGGAGTTCACACTCTTTTTTATCAAATAGCCAACCCACTACACGACCGGAGCCCCGTCCTTCTATAGCTCGTGGTTATGGACCGAGAATACACTTATTACAGTAGTCCCATGAGACAGAAAAAGGCCATCTGACAGTCAAGTCTCCCTCAATGCTACTCAGTGTTCTTTCAGCCTAGACAGAAAATGAAGCGTAGAGTGAGTCACACTATGTATAATTCTTGTTCACGTTGCAAGTGGAAAGGAACCAGACGGATGCTACCCAGAATAGACAAGGAGCTGGTTTTCTGCAAAATCTACTGAGGTAGAACGTGAAATCTTTGTTGCAAGAGGTAGAGCACTCGATGGGCTATAGAGCGAATCACACTACAAATAATTCATATTCAAGTTGCAGGTGGAAAGGAACCGGACCGATGCTCCCCAGAAAAGACAAAGATCTGGTTCTACACGAAATCTATTCAGGTAGAACACGTGATCTTCCTTGCAAGAGGTAGAGCACTCTATGGGCTACCGTCTTCACCCAAGTACAACTTTTCCTCATTCTGAATGTCTACAAGCTACCGACATTCCCCCGAACGGACAAGGAGCAGGTTTTCCGTGACATCTATTCAGGTAGAACCTGTGATCTTCATTGCAAGAGGTAGAGCACTCGATGGCCTACCATTTTCACCCAAATACTATGTACCCTAACTATGAATGTATACAAGCTTTACGGCCCTGATTCAGCCATGGTAAGGGTACGTTGTGTTCGGGGGAAGATGGTAGGGTGGCCCAAGACTTGACCAACCCGAAGGAAACTCCAAATACTTGCACAACTGAGCATCACGCAAACAGACTTTGGTTGCTAAGGGTTAAGGTCCAAAGGGAAACAGCCCGGCGAGCGAAAACATCTATATCACCACTTCACTCGAGCCTAAGTTGATGAAGCTGTTCCCAAGGCTTGCACGGCTCGACGGCGCCTTTTCAAAGTGGCCTGCCGCTTTCGCTGCTGGGCCAGGCCCGAAGCCAAGTGCTCTTACTGCGCATACCGGTAAGAGCACTACTTAAGGTTGTGTGAGCTGGTGCTGGTGTGTTTAAACTTCAAAGCAAAGAAGCCATTCTCAACTACATGCGTTCATCACTTCAAAAAAAAAAAAAAAAAAAAAAAAAAAATCTTCCATGATTTCCAGGAAGTTTTGTGTTGTTTGTTGATGTTTTCTTCCAGTTCACCTTTTCAATTAGCTCAAATGGAGTTGGACATCAAGGGATTGGAAAAAAAAAAAAAAAAAGAACAAAAAAAGAACAAAACGGCAAAAAAGAAGTTGAAGGACCAGCTCATAGCATTGCAGTGATTGCACACCAATGCCCCAATAGATGTGTTATTATGTGTCGCACACTTGCAAACATTTCCCAGGTGGAATGAGGCCTCTTTACCTGCCCGAGACCAGGGGAAGATGACATTTTTAACTTGATTTCATTTGCTTCAGTAGTGCGCAGGCAGTACAGACAATCGCAATTGGACAAGGCATCAGATTCGATGCATTGTCCCCTCCTAATCGTACACACATGACCACGAGTTCAAATCCCCAATTCTGATGGATACAATAACGATACGGGCCAACCCCTCACGGGGGGGGGGGAGGGGAAGACCATTTTGAGTGCAATTAAACCACCAGATCACCCAAGGCCAAGTTGGCAAATCTAGCTTCCAAAGGTGGCACCGACTCGCACGCCCATAACTGCGCCTTCTCAAACTTGGCCTACCGCTTTTGGTACTTGCCCAGGCCCGAGGCTTTTGGTACTGGCCCAAGCCCGAAGCTTTTGGTACTGCCCCAAGGCCGAATCGAAATGCTCTTGCCGGCTATACCTGTAACAGCACTACTCAGACTTGCGTGAACTGGTGGTTTAAACCAGCCGTAAGCTTTCCATAGCTTCCCATTTACCAGCCAAGGGGGCCGTTTACCGCAACTTTCGAAGGCCCGAAATGCGACAATGGCCGCGGATGAAAATTATGAACGGCGGCCCGGACCCGAAAGTTGCAGCCGTTAATGAGCTGCATCTCTTAAAAATGGCGGGGAAACGTACTGGTGGTGTTTCACATATGGGGTGCCAAGGGGGGGGGGGGGGGGGGGGGTACAGAGGCATCCTCACCTCTGGTGCCATCCAGCGGTAGCCGTCGTCCTCAAGATCATCTTCATCCATTGAGCTTTCAGGATCGCCATCCATCCTTAGCGGACCAAACTCAGTTACTTTCACCACGCCATCGGAGTCCATGACGAGATTCTGTGGCTTGAGAGCACGGTGAACGATCTGTCTTGAGTGAAGGTAGTCCATGCCTCTTGCAATGTCGAGCCCCTTGCTCACGATGATCCGCAAGTCGAGAGGGCTATCCCGCTGCTCGTGGATGAAGTCGTACAGATTTAATCCATCAAGATATTCTGTCACAATGGCCCACAGTGGTGGCCGCCTCATCGCACCAACAAACTACACAGCCAATTCGACATAACCAGAAAAAAAAGCAAAAACAAACCAGAGTCATTAATACCAAGATGACCCTTGACCCTTTTTCGTTCTTTTCCTTTCAGCAAGATTTGCAATTTACACACGCACACACAAAAAAAAAAAAAAAAAAAAAAAAAAAGAAGAGGCGGCGAACATCAGCATGGATGAAGTCATACAGAGTTAATCCATCAAGATATTCTGTCACAACGGCCCACATTGGTGCCCGCTTCATTGCACCAACAAAGATACCTAGCCATTTCAACATTAATGATTAACCCGAATAAAAAAAAAAAAAAAAAAAAAAAAAAGAGCAGTTAAATCATGTAATGCCGAGATTGATTACATTCTCTCATTGTTTCTTTTCTTTTGCCTTTGGTGGAGTCCAATGGTAGCCCTGAGGGCAAGTCCCACTAGCAGCATTGAGTTACCTCAACGGCCGAATCTGGACGACAATTTTGCGAAGATGTGCAGAAATGGTGTTGAGTTTGCTGAACTGCACGTCTCCACAAACACGTCCAGATTCAGGCGTTGAGGTAGCTCAATGCTGCTAGTGGGACTAGGCGCCTGGCTGAACGATTCACAAACTATCGATCAAGGACAAGCAATGGTGTACGTGTGGCATATTCTGCTGTTGAGGTAGCTCAATCTGAGTGGCATATGAGTTTGAAGGGTTGAGAATCCTCGGCGGACGAGTCGAGGAGCGTGGGGGAGGAGATGATAATGCCATGATATGTAATACTCATATCATCTTCTTCTTTAAAATTTTCCATCTTGTGTACGTGTGTTGATTTTGTGAAGCAATGGTACAAGCAATGGTAGCTCAGTGGGTTAAAGCTCTCGCGTTGCAACTGGGAGGTTGCAGGTTCGATTCCTTCGGCCCTCAACCTGCCCTGTGCGTGTTCAGTTGGTGCAAGATTGGCACCCCGTGTACTTGTCCAGCCTAGTACAGTACATTGATGGATCAGCAGACGTAGCCGCTCAGTGGGTCAGAACTAGGGTGTTGCAAGATAGAGGTCTAGGGTTCGATTCCGATCAACCCTGCACATCACGTAGTACAGATATGGCTGAGGCGCAGGTGGGGCATGGGCCAGGGGGTTTAGTGGCGGGGCATGGGCCAGGGGTTTTAGCAGTGGGGCATGGGCCACTGGGCCAGGGGTTTTAGCGGTGGGGCATGGGCCAGGGGTTTTAGTGGTGGGGGCCTCGTAGAGTGGATTACCTTGTAGTTAGTTACCTTAGGCCCTTAGGGGAAATGGGGCCACAGATGGGATGGTTGAGGGGAAGGACTGTGGTCGAGGGATTGCCTGCTGCCGTAAGAAATAGCTCAGAGTGGGCCCAGTTGATGACAGAGGTATGGGAGTGGATGGTGGCCATGTACCTACCGATGCCCGAGACTGTAGCGACTCCGGATGATGACCGAAATAACCACAGCAACTGGAGAGGGTCTAGTTGATGACCGGGGTATGGTGGCGGATGACGGCCGTGTACAAACCGGTGACAGAGATAAGATCTCCTCCCCATGCTGTGTAACAAACCATGACCAGAACAACTGTAGTACCACCCACAGCGACTGGATGGGGTCTAGTTTTGATGGCGGAGGTATGGGGGACAGAGGGTCGCCGTGCATCTACTGATGACAGAGACTAGAGTATCCCCAGGTGATACATTTAATCTACAATGACCAAAACCACCATTAGCACTGTGCTAGGTGGGTTACACGGGTTGCTTACGGGATGTCATAGGTTAGACCTTGGCCTCCCGAGGGGGGGGCACGGGACACTGCCTGTGATATCCACGGTGTGCACGTCTGGTTCCACACACTGGGGTGCCAGGGTGAGCTTTGGGGGCCACTGAGCATCTACCCATTGGGTGTGCTTCGAGAATGTTTTCGTCTAGCGCCTGAAAGTACCCGCACAACAGGGATCGCCCAAGCATGCTTCAATCAGGGCTGAGTGGGGCTCCTGCTTAGCGCTGATGCCTGCAACGGCGATACGGTCAGGTCACCCCGCCAAGATGGTAGAAGGTGATTGTCCCCTGGCCAGTGAGTGGTAGACATTGAGGTAGGACTGTGAGAGGTGGGGTGCCCCCGGGAGAATTGACAAGTGGAGGATGGGTGGGGCCTCATAAGGGGTAAGACCCAAAAGAGTAAGCTGGCAGGAAAGTAGGGAAAGGAAAAAAAAAAAAAAAAGATGACAGCACAATTTACGCAAAACAAAACAAACAAAAGAACTTCCAATCAAAAGAACAATGAATTGGCCACCATTGAGGCCTGGACCCCACTGCTTTTCACCAAGCCTTTTGTGAATATATTTTTGAGACTCCAAGATGGCAGCCAAGCAAGGATTTCTGTTCCAAACTGCCCACCTCCACTCTCCCAGCATTCCATCCTGTCCCAGTGCCTCCTTTCCGCACGGGATGGCTAAAATGAGAGGCTAGGCCCCAGGGTACCCTCTCATTTCAGCCCTCCCGTGCGTAAACGAGGGACTCGGATTGGATTGAGTGCTCGAAAAGCGGCGGTGGACTCTACCTTTCCGGCAAGTCTGCCTGATTGGGTAACACAAAGCTACGGAGGCGCCGAAAATTGCTGCCGCGGAAGGGTTCCTTTTCTCTTGTTCTCTTGCCCATCCCCGTTGGCTACGACTTGGGTCGCCGCATGTTTTCCAGCCACCTATCGACCGCCAGGCAGTGGGGTCCAGGTCTGAATATATCTCAAGATTCTCAAGTGAGGTACACCTCTGACGCACCAATGAGCATCCATTCCATTCCTTTGCAGGCACCAAAAGCTCTACTCCCAAGGTTCTCTTGGGCACTCTCACGATCCCTGCCTTCAAATGTATTGGCTTTCTCTTTTTCCGCATTCTATCCGCCCAAACTCGTCTCCACAGACGTTTTCTTTGGGGTCGAGACAATTCAAGCTGACGAAATGTTAAAAAAAAAAAAAGAAAAAAAAAAGGCTAGTGGAATGTTTGTGCAACTACGGCGGGCACCTGGACCAATAATGAGAGGGTGTCCATTTTCGAAAAGCGCATGGAAATACCAGGTAAGAATAAATGTCAGCATCGCATCTCGGGCCATCAACCGGCCAAGACGATCACACAGTGAGGCGGGTGTCTAGGTTCAACCATATTCTGCAACCAGCGGAACCATGCCCCGGCGGGCAGGTCCCATCTGCAAGGATTCTTCATTTCTGGCCGTCGATCTTCATAATCTACGGCCAAAAACAAAGACTCTGGGCAAGTGGGACCCCCAGGGGCCAATGAAGGGGCTCTGACACGGAGAATATAACAAACGGAATTCCTACACATATTATTATTCCCACTTAAACCGCCAGTTCACCGGAAGCGGAGTACTGCTCTTACCGGTATAGGCCGTAAGAGCATTTCAATCCAGGCCTGGGCCAGTACCAAACGTGGCAGGCCAAGTTGAAAAGGCGCAGTCACGGGATCGGAACCCTTGGAAGTTGGATTTGTCAATTTAGGCTCGTGCCAGCTGGTGGTTTGAACAACCAGTACTTGTCCCAGCTATCGGCCGTGGAAAAAAATACAGTAGAAACGTTTCTAGTCGGATGAATCTGGGCGCTCCTGTAGTGGCCCGTGCGTTTCCTAAAATTGTGGCTTGTTAACGGGCACTACTTTAGCGGCAGCAATTTTCGGCTTGAAAATGTAACATTCCTCATTCTTCGGATGAACAGTGCTACCGTGCTCCCAAAAAAACAAAAAGGCCGAGCTAGCTCTTCAGCAAAGTTTGGCGCGCAGTTCTTTTCCGCCTCAACAAAACAAGGCTCCGAGGTAGTGGTGGTTTAAATGGCTGTTAATGGACCACCAGTACCTCGCCCAGCCATTTTTCCCTGGCTGTTAATGGACCACAAGTTTCGCAGGTCGGCCTACGGGGTCAAAATGGCTGGCGGCGCCACCCAAATGGAGGCCCGAACCTGGCGCGCCGAGCATTTCCAGGCTCGCCAAGAGAAGTGTCGAAGGCATGCAAACCGACCTCCAAAAAAAGCCCTAATCCCTCACTGACATGATTTATTCAGATCCATGTCAGAAGCCAGAGGAAAGCAAGACCAGATGCCTACGTCAGCAAAGCCATGCCACTGCTCCTTCAGCTGGAGTTTACACGTCACTGAATCTAGTTGGGCAGTGGTCGTCAGGAAGGAAAAGAGAAGATTGCTTTCTGGGATTCCTTATCTTGTTTTTTTTCCAGAGACTGTTTTTGCCTCGTTGACAAGCGAGCATCAATATGCATCCATATACCAGCATGCATGTTACCTGCAGCAACCACAAGTCTAAAGCTTTTTTTTTCCTACGTCTTTTTTTTTCCCCCGCCTGAGGGTGAGTAGCCTAAACCCGGTGTGTTCATATCGTCTGTAGGCTATTCCCATCCTTATCGAGGGAGATGCTCACCTTCTCTTGGCTCAACGAACACCTCGTACAAGTCTTTAAAGTCGCGTAAAAGCTCATCGAATACCTCCTACAAGCCGTTATGTAAACTCTCCAATGCACCAAGCCCAAGCATGAACTGCTGATCAACATACCTGAGCTCGAATCCTGAGGGAGTCTGGATTCATAAAATACCTGTGAACAGTGTGAAGCATACCCGAGTTCGAAATCCTTTCAATTCAACGGTGACACCAAGCGTGCCCCAGGCTGTCAGTGGGAGCTGAACCCACGACCTCCTGAACACCGCTTCGTGCCAAACTAACTGAGCTACCTAGGCCACTTGCTCTGAATTCTCCGACGATACCTCAGGCTGTTGGCTTCGGGGGGTGGGGAGGGGGGGGAGACCCCGATGGATTTTTTTGGTGACAGAATAAAGACCTTGAGAAAGTTGAGATACAACAGGCAGCCTGCACTGTTCACACAACAAACATTTACCTCTAAATGGACAGAACGCACCAGCAGAGCCCATGTCAATTCAACAATGTCCGACATTCGAAGAAAAAAGAAAGCGCAGCCTGAGGCAGAACTGTGCAGAGCAGATCCTGACGACAGCAGGACAGGTGCATGACAGAAGTGTGCGCTTCGCTCACT